TGGTCCATTCACATCTGGAAGAGACCATAGGCAAACTGCACAGCACAGTTCTGGCAGCCACAGACACTCCCTGCTCCCTTTTATCTTCATTTCTCCCCATCAGGCAGCCCCCTTCCCTCACTCTGTATCAACCACCTTCACAGCTATGCCCTCTGCTGTGCCACCGCCGTGCCATGGCTGCCCCTTGCACAGCCCCTGAATTCCAGCACAGAGTAAAGAGAGAAAAGGAGACATCGTGGGTCAGATTTCTGAAGGCACCACAATGCACAGGCACCTGTTTGCTGCTGGCTCGAGGGGTCACAGAGCTGCAGGCAAACCCACACTGGGTTACACTGGAGCTGCAGCCCCAAGCTCTCAGCAAGCCCCCAGTGCCAGAGACCATGGCCCCAACAGTCCCTCCTGCCCATCCAATAACAAACACCAAGCAAGAGTCCATCAGACTGGATTTATTTGGGTCCGCAGCAATTCATACACAAGTCCAGTGTTTGCAGGTAAAAGTGACGAGTTGCTCTGTGCCAAGCAGTGCCAGGGCGTGCTCACACCCCGAGGCTCCTGCCCGGGGCTGCGGAGCTCTGTGGGGCACCTCAGCACCCCCTCCCCGGGGAGCGGCTCCTCTCCCCACAGCGGAGGGGAACAACTCCAGCCCACTCAGAGCCCAGCAGAAATGAGCTCTGCTCCCCTGGTCACCTGGCCACGGGGACAGGCTGGGTCACGGCTGTGAGGCATTGGGCAGCAAGACACCACAAGAATCAGGTCTCACCCCTTCCAGCCCTCCTTTGCCATTTGTGCTGTCCCCATCACTCCGACAGCACACGGTGCAGGACGTAAGCCAGCAGGCAGCCCAGCAGCGCGGGCCCGAGGCAGCCGGGCAGGCGCAGCCCAGTGCGGACCACGGGGCTCACTTCCCACCCCAGCACTCCCTGCAACGCCAAGAGAGCACGGTCTGTCTCCCTGCACGCACACAGTGTGCCAAAACATGACTGTTTAACCTCAGCATTGAGACCCTGATGTCAACACTACCACGTATGACTGCACAGCAGTTCCATTCCTAAGTGCCTTACACTGAAACAGGACGCACCTGATCCTTCCCCACTGCAGGGGTGTCCAGGGTGCTGCACACCCTTCCTCCACAGCCCCATCCTCTGGGTGCAGAATTAAGGGACTCATCCACCCATGACCATTTCTCTGTGCTACAGAGACAACTGTGCCTGCATCTCCCAATAACACGTGCTTTGCCAGCCCTGGGTGCGTTTTAGCTCTGCTGTTGGCAAGGGCAGGGCTTTACCTTGAAAGACTCCAGAAAGCCTCCGTGTCCACCATTCTCCAGCTTGTCCTCCTCGGGCCCCAGCCCCAGCATGGTCTGCGTGTGCCCGTGGAGCTCGTCATGAAGGTTGTCCAACAAGGCAGCCCGCGTCCGGTCCTGGAGGAGGACACGGGACTCAGTCAGGGGCTCCGAGAGAGGGCAGCGGCACTGACCCGCAGGACAGCCGGCTCGTCCCTCCTCCAGGACACTGCCCACCCTGTGGGGTCCTGTGGCAGTCACACTCCAGTCAGCTGAGCACTGACCCAGCTCAACAGGGAAAGGCAGCTTTGAGGAGGAATGGGAGAACTCCCCACACCTGCTACAGTGCCAGGCAGGGACACGTGGGCAGTGTTACCTCCAGCTTTGCAAACTTGTCGGACTTGCAGCAGGCATTCTCAGCATTGATAAGCTTGGTCAGCGGGACTCCCGGAACTCAGGACTCTGCAGGGAGAGAGACAAGGTGGGAAACACCCACAGTGGTAAGACACTGTATCCCTGGTGTCGGAGCTGTAGTGAGCCCACAGCTGAGCTCCCATCACCCTGCAGTCCTTCCACATGTGGAAGCACTGGTGAAAACCCAAGTGGGCTTGGGGTGCCCTCCTGCACCAACCCAAGTGCCCCAGCACCAGAGCTGCCACTGCCACCTCACACAGGTGATGTCATGCAGTGCTGCAGGGCCAATCACCCTACCACAAACCCCAGGGGCCTATTGGAAACCAAAATCAATGCAGAGCAGTTCCAGAAGTTGTGTTTTCCTGAAGCAGGCATGCTTGGAAACATCTTGGACACACCCATTTACTTTTGCTATGGCTTGGAACATGCTTCCCCTCTCAGCTCCTACCTTCTGGAACACCGGCGGGCTTGGCAGGGGAGGGCCAAAGGAGGGGACGTCTTCCCGGGCCGTGACCGACACCTGCGGAGCCACGAGACATGTCAGTCCCATGGGTGCATCAGGGTAACAGGGTTTATGCTACCTCAATCTGAGATCATTGGGTTAGAGAATGGTTTGTCTTGAAAGGGACATTAATGATCACCTAGTCACACCTATCCGGCCATGGGCAGGGACATCTCCCACTAGCTCAGCTTGCTTCATGCCCTGTCCAACCTGGCCTTGAGCACACTTCCAGGGATGGAGCAGCCACAGCTTCACTGGGCACCCTCAAGGGGAAGAATTTACTCCTAATCTGTAATCTAACCCTGCCCTCTGTCAGTGGGAGGCCATTCTCCCTTGTCCTGTCACTCCATGCCCTTGTCAAAAGATGCTGAAGCAAAAACAAGCACATGCACATCAGGATTGCCCTCACCTTGTACATCGTGTTATCTGCCTCAAGGTTTTCCACTTGCACCACAATGTAAGCATGCAGGAAGTTGGAGGCAATCATGTCTGGGACAAATGGCGTGTTCTCCTCTTGGAAGATAATTGCCACGATGTCATTGCCAATGTGCCTCTTCCTCTGGAGCTAAGTGGAAAGCGAGAGCATTGGGTTGGGAAAGCCATGCGGTTTGCTCCCACTGGAGCTAATGCCAGCCCTGGGTCAGGGAGCCACACAGCCACCTCAGGCACTGCCTGCAGTGCTGGGCAGGGCAGGGTCAGCACATCCTGCTCAGCCCCTTCTGTGCAAGGGAGCTCATCTCTCTTACTTGTTGCGTGTCTCCTTCGGTAAAAGGCAGCTTTGTAGAGACGTGAAACATTATCTCCCTATCCCTGAACACCGTGTACACAGACTCCACTCCCGTCTGCCCGTGGCTGACATCCAGACCTCCTCGAAAACTGGAGAGGAAGGGAAAGGCGGGGAGAAATGAAGAAATATTAATTGAAAGCTCCGCGAGAGCGCCGGCGGCTGTCAGGGACAGGCTGACGAACAGCCCAGCTCAGTTATCTTTAGCTAGCAGGGAGCAAACGGCAGGGAACAAACTGTGCGTCACGTGTCGGAGCCAAGCGTCGCCGTCACCGGCCTGAAACGCAGGGCGTGCACAGAGCAGGGCCAGCTGGCTGGGACTGACCACAGCCACGGGCACCCCGGGGGCCTCGCTGGCATCACAGGTCTCTGCCCACACCACGGCTCAGCCACCGCTCTGGGCACAGCACATCTCCACACAGAGCTCCTTCTCTCTATGGCTGAATACAGCCAGATCTTATCACAACCTCAAATCTGCAGGAAAAGAAGTTTTTCTCTCTTGGCAGCTCCAATTTTTTTTTTTTAAAACTCCCCCAGCTTTGAAAAACAAGCCAAAGCTATATTTGCTTCTGCTCTGCACATCCCGCTCATGAGCAAGATGACTTCTGTTCTCACACACAGATATTTTTACATATGACATGGTCTCTTGTTAATGTATTTGTAAAATCCTTCTTTTTATCTAACTTACCCTTTGAAGTCCTGGAGTGTTATGGTGTCTCCCAGAAAACTCAGGAAGTTCTTGAAGGCAGCACTCTCTTCATTATTGCCAAACAGCTCCTCCTCTTGGGTCTGCAAAACCAGGGTGCATCTGCTGGCAGCCCCGATCTCCCTGCCCGTCCGACCCCTGCCAACTCTTGCTCCATCCACGAGGTCTCTGGGGTGTGACCAGCACCTTGTCCCATGGTGTTCCACACAGCTACAGGCTGCTCCCAACCTCCAGCTGGCACCACCGCACTCACCCCCAGCCACTAGCACTGTGCCTGGGGTGTCACAGCCTGCCCAGGCCCCAGGACAACCCAGGGTAAAGCTGCTGAGAGCCACATCTGACCCACAGCGAGGACCTTAGGAGAATATCCAGGAGATACCAAAACACAAGTGAATCCTCCATTGGAAAATCCAAGCCCTAATCATGCCCAGTATGTTGTATTTTGCAGGAACAGGAGCCTAATTATGGCCTTGCATGAGTCAGTCAATCTGACCCAAAATGCAATATATAAGATAATTACAGTGCCTGTCAAAAGAATTCTTAGTGAGTTCTGAGGCTGAGATGCTTCTGCACTCCCAATCCGGAGTCCCCCAGCTAATAACAGCGTTTTCAGCAAGTGCCTGTCTCCAGAGCCCGCAGTCCCTCCAGACAAACATAGCTGTTTTGCTGTCTAAACATATATCTGATTAAAATACCACGCCTGCTAAAA